TTGAGAGTTTTCTTGAAAGGGAATCTCATACTGAATCCTTATTCAATGGGCATCAGAATCAAGAAGAGCTGCAGAGGAGAAATGTATCAACTGGGTCAGATGAAGAGTGACTAAGACCTAAAAAGAACACCTGCATGACTGTGATGTGATGGCAATTTTAACTGACATTTCATGTGTTAGGATCATTGTATAATTTCTTTTTTTCCTGAAGTTAGCTTAGCATACTAATAGCTCAATTAAAGTAGCAGAGGGTTGTGGCAGATGGGTGGGTGGAGGACTGCATGTCATCCCAGTCTGAGTCTTTGCTTTTTTGAGTGCCAGAAAATCATAAGGGAGGAGCCCTTTGCTACTACTGTAGAAGACTCATCACCTCTTTTGATACAGCTATGTATGGCCATCAGAGCTACAGCTCTCTAAGGGAGGTTTTCACATGGATCAAGCCTTCTATGAAATCATTCTTCTTGTTGTTCTAGGCATGCAATATTTTCTTAGTTCTTTCCCACACTTTCTGCTGTCTGAATATCCAAACTAGGAACTCAATATTTTAAATTTCAAGAATTCTGAATCATATAAAAGTACATCATGTAAGGGACCTTTGGAAGTTATTTGGTCCAGCCCCCTGCTCAAAGATTATTAACTACAATGTTACAGGTTTGCCTTTTCAATTCAAGTTTTAGTATCTCCAAGGATGGACATTACATAGACTTACTGTATCATCTGTTCCAGTGCTTGATTCAGTGGGAATTTTTTTCCTTTATGTCCAGTAGGAATCTACTATCTTGCAGTTGGGAATTGTTGCCTCTCATCCTTTGCTGTGCTCCACTGGGAAGATGTCTCTGTCTTCTCCACTCCCTTTTAGGTAGCCTCAAGGGTTCAGTTTACCCTATTTTTAGTTGCTTGTTGTTGCAGGTAATATTTGCATTCTATTAGTGCAGGCACAGAAAATACTGCTGGTAAAGAAAATGCTTGTAAATCACAAGGGAACAATAGAAGAAGTGACTAACATTAGATTGATGAAAATTGCTCATGTACAACGTTATCAAGATGACATTCCTAAATAGCTTCCTTATGGGAGAATCACTGATATCTTCCCTTCCTGTGTCTGATAGGCTGGACATTATAAGAATCTGTCCCCTTAAACTGAGTATATTGAAAGCTTAAAAGAGGGTTTCTATCTGATACAAACCACAAGAAATGCACCTGTGTATGCAATAGAAAATGTGTGTGAATGTGTGGGGTTTTTTTAGTGTGGGAGAGAGAAATAGAATTATTACTTTTTCCTCCCAGAAGAGCTCCTGTCTCATGACAGGTGAAAGGTCATTTGATTTGGTGAGTTACTTTGATCTTTAGGATAGGAAGCAGCGCCCTGTGGCAGAGCTCAGGTAGGCATGTGGCTTCTGCTGTATGTTTGTGTTCTCAGTTCTCTGTGCATTTGTTGTTCTCTGCTTGTAGTGCCCTTTATCAAGGTATTCTAAGGAGATTTTACCAAATGTTGTAATGACATAGACTGATTAAAAACTATTTGGTCATGTAAGTTCACAGTCCGTGCAACAAAATAATAGCTATCAGCACCTCCCTTCTCTAGATGCTCACTGAAAACTAGGAAGATCTTTTTTAAAAGTTATCTCTGTTGCCTTCATTATTTGTTGGCATCCAAGCATTACATTTAGCTTAACTCAAACACAGTGACTTTGGTAAGAGGCTACACAGTTTTTTTTAATGTGGACAATATGCTACTAAGAAGCAGCAGAGATCATAAGCTGCAATATTTAAAACACCCAAGGAAACTTTCAGTTTGGCAGTACTGCTGAATAATGTTTATCCCATAATCTCTCATTAAAGGATTGTGTAAGTTAAGGTAATGTGATTTTTTTAATGATTTAGGGTTTTTTACTCCTTTAAGTTTCTGTGTCATGGGCTAGATCCTGATCAACATCCCCAGTAGTACTTTATCTCCCCCTCTATTCAGATTCCCAAGCAAGCTTGGTCCAGCACTGCATTGGGCAGCAGTATTGTAACTTTCTGTAGCTTCTTCTGTTGAGAGGGAAGAGAAGAGCCTAACTCATTATGAGAGGGACTTTTTGATGTGTTTGTTGTATGTTTCCATTGAATACATGTGCAATTTGATACCCTGAGTCAGGAGAAAGAATCACCATTTCAGCTTCAATTATGTGCATGCTTTTAGGAACCTGCAAAAAATAGACAGTAGAAGTAGGAAATTGGACCAGATACAACATTTTATCCATGAGGGTAAAAATAGAACAAGGTTAATGGTTAATACTAACCTGTGTCATCTTTGTCGTCATCATTCCCCCCTCCCACCCACACAGCGTAGAGCATGCGCATACAGTGTCTGCCATAATCTCCTTTTCTAATTGTGGTTGTATTCCAATAATCCCTTTTCCTCCTTACAGCTGCTTGCATTCTAATACCTAGCCTTTTTTCCTCTCTTCCTCCTATACTGGTGGTCTCAGAAAAGTACTAATTGTCTGATGTAAGTAAAAGTACAGCTCTGACACAGAAATAGCAAAAGAAAAGTTGCCTGGTGTGTATGCAAGAACCTCTGTCTATGACATCCTCAGCTGAACTCCATCTAAGCAGCCACTCTGCCTTTGGAATTGGTGGAGGATTTCCATGGTGGTATGACTGACGTCTGGGTTCTTTATTTCAAGACGTGTTTAGCTGACCTTTTACATACCAGGTTCAGTTTTCAGTATAAAGTAATCACAGTTTTAGTAACTTACACTACCTGATATTTTAGATAAATATTAATCTTATAATGCAGATATTTATCTCATAATAGGGATTTATGTATTATGAGAGTAGTAGAAAAATTAGTTAAAGCAACATGTGTAAGAGTGTAAAAATTAACATTGCTGACCCAGGCAAATAAATTCAGTATTGGCTTTACTGCCTAAACATTAAAGAAGGTGGTTTCTGAGATACAGTTTCTCCCTTCACCTGCCTGCAAAAACAATATATTCCCTTCTGTGGTGGTTTTTTTATCTTGAACAGAAAGGCTAACAGGTATCCTGTTCTGTAAAGAAAAAAGAGGATCCATCTGTAAGAGGCAGAATTTAAATATTAGATAATGAAGAAAAACAGTTTGAAGAATATCATATGTGTAATTTATTTCACAGTTGGTTTGTTACTAGTCAGACAGTTTCAGTGCCCTGAATTAAAGTGCATTAAATGCATTAAATTAACCAGAATTGTTATAATCCATTTGGTTTGATTAAGTATGTTGGCGATGTGGCAAAGTTAAAACAATAGAAACCCTGAAAAAATAATATCGTTGTAAAAAAAAAACCCAACTTGAAAAAGTCAATGGAGAAGGCAGACCAGCATGGCTAATGACAGTAAATGAAATCCTGCTTGGGAATCTGATCCTTATCCAGCAAAGCCCTTAATCTCATCATTTAAGCATATGAGTTCTTCTCTCTCTAAGCATGCATATTGTCCCACTTAGGTAAGGGTGAGGTTAAGTGAGTTCCAAGACTGTTGCCATAGAGCTCAGCATCTGTCAGATCAGAGCCCTGGCTGACCTGATGAGGGAACCCGTCTTGCAGCAAGAGTTATGTGTTGAATGGTATTTGTGTAGGCACTCATGTGGTGCAAGTTCAGTGCAACCCAGGGGTTCCAAAGGTAATCAGAAAATTATTGTTATGTTTGGGTACAAAGGGATATAAAATGCTTTATACTGTAAGGTGCAAGTCTTTTTTTGTAATTGCAGCACAGAAAAAAATGTAGAGCTATAGAAGAACAGATTAAAAATATACAAAAGATTCTGATGTCTGGAATTCTGCAGTTGAAAGGTTTTATAGGTAAATTATGCCCTGATTTAAATACACTTCAGAAGTAGTGAAAAGGAATTACTGTTTTGTGCTGCATTTTTAAAATGTCTTACATGGGTATTTAGTTTCATGTGAAAATCTACTCTGGATGATACAGTATAAAACTTAGAGTCTGTTTTACTGTTTTGTCGGAAACAGCTACGCCTTTACAGAGGCAATGGCTCTTCAATCAATGACTATTGTCAGTGCATTATGGATAGTTTAAGGGCTTAAGTACCAATTCCGTCTTTGCAGGTATGTAACTGCTGCAGAGATAGTCACTAAAGTTTCATTGTTACTTCTTCCTGTGGAAAAATTGTAAGTGATAAAAATGAACATACTAAGTACTGCAAGTCTAAACTAATCAGCTGGCAATGTGTGCTCACTATCACTTTTAGAGAGCAAAGCCAGACCTGTTCTTCCCACAGGACAGGATGGAGGTTTGCAGGAGTCTAGCTGGAGAGAGGATTATCCAGAGTAGGTTGTGGCTCTGCATCTGGAACAAGAAGCTGACAGGGTTGATGCTACAAGGGCTATAGTCTTACACCAATGGCACACTTTGTTTCAGTGGGAGATGAGACCTTTCTTTCCACAGTGTTTCACCATCTTCTGTGATCCCCATCCCTGGTGTGTCACATCTTTCTACACTAGGAATTAAATGCCACTTGGCCAAAAGGGACATTTCTCTCCTTGGCAGGGACATTTCTCTGCTGCTATCTTCTGATGCTTTAAATCCATTTTATGTTGTGTGTAGCTTTTGTACCTGAGAATTGATGCTGTAATAATCTGCGTTGCTGGTGAGATGCACACGATGAATATAAGAAGCAATTAGTGTGCCCTACAAAACATGCCTTCACAGAAAATTTATTGCACTGTAAGCTGTTTCTGTTTCAGTGAAAAGCAATCATGTATACAGCAAAACAAACAGATGGACTACTGTACTTGTGTTTGGACAAAAAGAATTAAATGTAGAAAGCAGCGAAGAAGAGTTGGCAAAAGTTGCTGTGTGTGTTGTTTGTATAAATGGTAGACGTAAGGACAAATCTGTGGGTTGCCAGTTTACTAGGAGCTCATTTGGCTACAGATACAAAAACTTCTGAAAACAAAAACCAGGTGGCTACTCCAACACTCTCTAATTCCTTTTCATATTTCCTTGATGTTTTGTAGCTGTGCAATGGTGGATCTGTGACTGATCTTGTGAAGGGATTTCTGAAGAGAGGCGAAAGGATGAATGAACTTATAATTGCTTACATTTTACGTGAAGCTCTGATGGTAAGATAAGCTTTCAGTGAAAGTCAACATTCAGCTCAATTTTTTTTTCCTTTAATGAAGATCACGTCCCAACTAATACAGATCAATATCTTCTGTTATAGCAGTGTTTAATGAAATCAAGGTGATTCAATGGTTCTTTTTAAGCAGGCAAGGTAAAGAACAGTTAATCTGTTTGTTTCATTATTAAGAGGATGAAAATTGATTTCTGACCATTGATCAATTTGCTTTGTAAATACAGTTCAGCATCAAAATTGCTTTTCTTTTGAGAAGTAGCAGAAATATAATCAAAATACTGTCCAACTTCTTATGGCTGGATCCAAAGTATTTTTATAGTAAAATATCCACATATCTAGTGAATTCAAACACCACTGTAAGAATTTTTTTTTGCTCATCAGGATCAAGTGTCTTTATTTATCATTTTCTTGTAACTGAAATTTTACTTTCTCCAGTGAAATTTAGGCCTTAGCTTTCTTTGAGTTTATCCTCTAAAGGTATAATGTAGGTTTATAGTGCTGTTTTTCTGCTTTCATCTTAAAATTTCTATTTGTCATAAAGTGGGGCAGTTAAAAAAATATCCGTTCTGTTTGGTGTGCCAAATGGTTTTCCAGAAAGAATGACATCTCTGTGGTTTTGCATTAAAAAAAATTTAAAAATTTTTCATACTTTTCTGCCACTTTATTGTTTCTGCAAATGTACTACAGAGGACAGAGCTGTTATTAAAAAGTTCATGTTTACATCTCACCATCCAGGGACTTCAGCATCTGCATGAAAACAAAACTATCCACCGTGATATTAAGGGAAATAATATCCTTTTGACCACTGAAGGAGGAGTCAAGCTTGTGGATTTTGGTATGTTATGTTTACTTATATATACAAAGAATGTTTTACATCTGAAGTATGGAAAATAAAATAGAGCAAACAAACCAGAAAAGATTAACTATGTTAATTTTTTGTTAAGGTTTTGAGTTCTTCATTAAAAATCACTTGGATAACCAAAGTTCCTTTTTTTAACTTGATAGACATTTTAATAATTTTAATAATGCTGTTTCAATACTATGGCTAACAAATAGAAATTGTAATATGGTGGTGGTAAGTGCCAAATGCTTTGGGGCACACTGTAAGTGAGGTGGCAAAGTGAGTTAATAGGATTCCAAATGAGGTTGATGTTTAGTTCCTCCAGGACCATGCACTGGGACTCAGTGAAATTAGGAGCTGATAGGAAAAAGCTTCATGTTGTGAACATTTAAAACTTAACTAAATGCATATACTCAGACACATGTATTTCATTAGTTTGATTTAAAACAAAACAAGAGATAGGCAATAGAGGGGGGAATATTATATAGGTAATCCCCACTTTCCAAAGTCTGAGAAGACTAACAGATTTTGGCAAATGTAAATCTAAGAATTGACATTGAAAGGGTCTGTTGAAGTCTGTTAGGCCTAAAGTGATTCTTGAATGCTGTCACCTGGTGTCACCACCAGAAGTGAAAAGGAGAGACATAGGTAAGTGGATGGAACCTGTAATTTACCAGCCATGCTACAATAATTTGCCTTAAAAGTGTATTGACTGTTGTTTTATATGAAGGATATAAAAATTTGCAATGTTTGTTGTTACGAACTATTATCTTCTGATAGCACACTGTCTTTTTATGTTTAAATTTATTTTATTGGTCACTATTTTACAGCACAACAGATACAGTGAATAAAATATTCTGTTCAGCAGATGGAAAATCTTTACTTTTCCTTTGCTCTCTTATGTTTTTAATGAGATTGATTCAATTGATGCATAACAATTGTTTAAACAAAGAATTTTAACTACCTTTAGTATAGTATCTTTCTACCAGTAGATTGTGTTTATGCAACTCTCATTACTTCACACTCAGAATCCCCACAACTGTTAGCATTAGTAATTCTTCTGAAATGTCATGTATTTCTGTTGTATTTCTCAGATAAAATCTTCCATTGGAAAGTCTGGAAGTTTAATGTGTGGCAAAAATCAATATTTTTGCCCACAGGCTTTTAATGTGTTGTAGACACTAATTTTTTAAGGTGTTGAAAGCAATTAGAGCTGCATAGGATCAATGCTTCTGAAAATTAATTCACTTATGCAGATGTCAAAACATACAAGCTGTAGGGATGAGGACCTGAATTCTTTATTCCCCAGGTACTGCAATCTACTGATAAGGCTGTAATTGAAAAATAATCTTAAATTCTTGTGGGAAAATTGCCACGCCAAAACACAGATTAGACTGTGCACAAGAAACAAATATACATACACACACATTTATGTGAATTCAAAAGGGGCCTGCAATACCTGCAGCAGTCCTTTTTCTCAAAAGAATATATGAATGGCACCTTAACTTAGGAATGGATTGACATTTTCGCTGGCTTTTCTTTTTATTCTTTCTCAAAATAACCCACCTCAATCTGAAGCCAATAATTAGTAGTTTCAAGTGGAAAAAAATCATACAGTCTTCACAAAATCACCATGGAAGACATACCAGTCACCCTTCAAGCTGCTGTTTAAGGTATTCAGCTGGGATTTGGGAGATTTGCGTCTTCTACTTAAGAGGATTTAAACCCACGTTAATCAGATTCTGAGATCATTTTTTAGCTAGGAATGTGAGTTGATCAAAATCTCTCATGTTGGCACTGCTGCAGACTGTTGTACATAAACATTTATTGGATCAGGGATTGAAACTCAGAACCATCTTTTATTATACAAGCCTGTGAATTGGTTCAGAATAAGACAGACACATGGGTGCAGTCTCCTTTTTAGCCAGTAAATACTCAGAGGAAGAAAAATTTTAGTTTACAGTGAACAAATTATTACATAGGGCCAAACAAACAAAACCAACCCAGATAATCACATCAGCCTTTCTAGTGTGCACACAGCTTTTCTGCTGTGGAGAGGGGAGCAGAGGCAGTGAACCAAGGATTCCTGCAACCACCAAACACACATGACCAAGGAAGTGAGCCCTTCCCAAGATAATTTTGTCTGTGCCATTCTTCTGCACGCTGGATGCTGCTGAGATGTTCCTGAAGAAGCCTTTGCTGTTCTCCCCTGATTCTTTTTATGGTGTTTTTTTTCTGAATAGGTGCATAACACCTGTATCTGAAAGATGGGACTGTGAAGTGCCTTATGGGACACGAAACTAGAAAAGGAGCTATTCTCAGTCTGTGTGTGTTGTGCAATTGTTTCACTTGAACTTGTGCCTTTGTCCTTTTTTTAGGAACTTTTTAAGAGTCATAATTGGGGGAAAAAAAAAAGTGAATTAAATCACTTTTGAAAATGGCTTTTCTTTCCCTCACTGTTTTTGTACTCTTTGAACATGGTGTATGGTGTACTGCCATTCTGAAACCTTCCTTGCACAGCAGTACCGAATTTTCAGAAGCTTTATTTTGTGGCATAGTTTATACACATTGCCTTACGGTCATTGTACCATAAGTATTTACATTTTCTGAATTTTCTGAACACTAAAGAGTCCATAATGGATAACCTTCACAACACCTTTATGGAGAAGTGAATGACTTTGATTCCCAGTTAACAGTTGGGGATCTGAAACTTTGAGAGACTGAGTTTCTTGAGGGAGCACATAAGGTGTGTGGAAAAGCTCTCCCAAAGTCCAGGCTGACATTCTGAACTGTTCACTTTTCTAGAGGTACTGATAGTTAAAGAAATGAGAAAGACTTTGAAAAAGTACCATGGCTGTGCCTCACCCAGATTGCTTTGAAGAGTGAAACTTTTCCTTTCCCTTAAAATTCTACTGTAATATTCTCATATCTAAGAAACACCCAATACCAGTATAGGTTAATGATGAAATCAAGTCCAGTACCTGGAGAGATCCTATAAGAAAGTCGTAGAGAGACTATTTACAAGAGCATATAATGACAGGAAAAGAGGGAATGGTGGTGAGGCAGGAGCAGGTTGCCCAGAGAGCTGTGGGTGCCCCATCCCTGAAGGTATTCAAGGCCAGGTTGGATGGAGCTCATAGCAACCTGTCTTAGTGGAAGATGTCCCTGCCCATGGCAGAGAGTTTGGAACTAGATGACCTTTAAGGTCCCTTCCAAACCAGGCCATTCTGTGATTCTTTAACATCTCCTCATCAAAGCTTCTGGAGCTCAATTGCTTATTAAGGAGCTGCAAGATAAAGTTTTAGTTTAAATTGTCCAAGGCACAAGAATTTTGAAATACAGTTACCAGTGATGCATTCTCTCTCCTCACATCCATCCGGCAGAGAGAAACAAAATAATTTTTATTTTCTACAGATAATGAGTGGCAGCCAAAGGAATCTACTGTAAGTACATCCTCTGATTACAGATTCAGTCCCTAAATTAATTAAACTTCTAAATATATTAATAGTCCATATTTTCTTTGTAAGAGAAGAAGGCTGACTGGAAGCAGTCTCACTACTTGAACATTTTTGGGAATTAGCTGTTAAGCTGTTCTGATAGAAAACCTTTGGGGTAGAGTCTTACACCTGCAAATCACAGCAATTATGCTCCAAGCAAGGAGCATCCTCTACCACATAATATACTTGCATTATATTCAAGTGTAGCTGCTATGTTTTCTGTACAAGATATGGATTGGATAGAAAAATACACATTTAAATTAAATTCCCTGGAGCACTTTCAAGAGTGACTGCTATATAATCTATTGTATAAAAAGAACTGGAGGCAAGCAAGGTGTGAATTAAATTCCTTTTTGATAAATATTCTTAATTGTATTCACAGTTACTTATTAGTGTTCTTGGAAGGAACTCTTACATCTATTTCACAGAACTCTGGTTGTATGCAGTGGATTGATGTTAAATTGATGAAATTTTAGCCTCTAAAGGTGCAGAAAAGCATCTTATAAAATTTTCAAAAACTTTTAGCATGTAAATCAAAATAATTGCTATATACCTTTTGAAAGTTGTGTGAAAAATTTGCTGCCTAAATATCTGTCAGTGTCTGATCTCTTGTCATCAGTTAAAAAGCTGGCCTGAAGTCATTTGCACACTTCATCTGTAATAAAAATTCATATATAAATCTGCATCTTATAATGTGTAACCAATGTCATAGGAAGCTGAGGGTATAACATCTGCTTTTGCTAACAAATACTTGCTTCTTTGAATAGTCCCTCTCAATTCAGTTTCTTTTCTTAAAATCAGGATGCTGCACAGGGCCTTTCATGTATTAATGGTAGTGTAAGACACAGTTCTATAATGTCCTGTTCCAAAATGGGAGAAAAAAACTTAGCTGTGTTATTATTGTTATTATTTTAACTTAGGTCTGAGAAAGTTCAATTGACATTTCATTTTGAAAGATTTGAAGTTATTTCTGAAATCCCCTGCCATTTCAGTGAGTCTGGGATCTTGAAAGTCAGAGGTTTCCATGCTTATATGTTACTGAATGAAGAGCAACCTAGAGGACACAACTCCCTATCAGCAACCTAGTCGAAGTTGCTGACATGTCTGGAGTCATGGAAGAAAGAACCATTTTTCCACTAAAATTTTGCAACCCTACGGTCACATGGCAAGTGATTCTTTTAGCTACAAAGAGGATACTGTAACAGTTATGGAAAATTTCTCTTCAGCTATGCTTTTGAGGGTTGACCTTGTGGGCTGATCGTCTTGACCAAGAGCACAGGTAGCTCATACTTCTTTGGGACTACTGAAGCCTGCTGCCAGAGACTAGAAATATCTCAGGATGAGCCTTGGACATGTCCAGAAAAAATATAAGTGTAAATTAAACTCCACTACTTTGGAAATGCATAGTTTTCCAGAAGCACTTTCTTGCTGAAGGCCATGCCTTTCTATGCATCAAATGAAAACATACTTTCATACCACATGTAATTAGACTTTTGA